TTTTACTTTTTATAATTGTTCAGAACACTACAACACTAAAGACAACTGCTGTGTTAAAGGCAAAACATTTAAACTATGGGTGTGACTTAGCCTTGCCTAAAACCCAACATGGACTAGTGTGGTGTACAGTAGATAACCAGAGGTCACCAAGACTGTCCTGATGCCCTTCAGAGGTAGCCAGGGTGGGTGGCCATAGTGGCAGGAGACTGCTGACCATCTGAATTGTCCTGTTGGCAAACCTGCAGCAGGCTGGAGAGGCACTAACAGATGGCAGGAGGGTGAGGGCACCGTGGTTGGGCGCATGAGCAGGCATCCCAGCCGGCAGCTCTCCCATATGGGTTTTCACCAAGCCGAGAGATGGAGAGGCAAACGGTGAGACAGGGAGAAAGAAAGGTGAAGGTGAGGAGAGATAAAGCTGGAAGTTAACCCTAAAGAAAAGGCAGTGAGAAGATAGGGGCCGTTATGAAAATGGCAATATTAAATACTTTTAATGTCACCGAATCTAGTGAGAAATCCAAAGCTAACAGACAACTGATTCCACACAAATCAGTTACAGCAGCTTTTTCGTCTGTGAGCTCCATTGTTGCTCCAAAAACACTGAAGTGACTCACACTGTTGCACTGGGTAACATCTCCCTTTGTTACGATCAACGTGGGCACTCTCTGTTTTGTGTAAATCCCACATACTACCTCCTTGCTCCAAAAATACTCAGTACTGCCCATGTATGTGTTGTATATGTGTATTAATCTGAAAAAGACTGAGTCTGAAAAAGTGTTTGAGCCAAATTTGTAAAGGTTACAGTGCTTAGCCCTTTAAATAATTTTCATCCTATCCTCAATAGCGTGGTGAAAATAGAAAAACAATACATTATTTACTCAGATTTAAAAAACTAAAAATTGAATTTTACATTAAAATAATTCACAACAGATATTAATATGACAGTTGTGAATTATTAATGAACTTATCAAATTTGATTTAAATCAAACGTAAAACAAGCTAACAGTTAGCACAGTTAGCATTAGCCAAGATGTCCTATTTAGTTTGCTATCGATGTAAGCTAACTGCTACAATTAACAAGAAACATCTTATTTTATTGAGATGAATGTTTTCAAAGAAAATAAATGTTACCCCTAAATTTTTGTTCCTGTACTGCTGAAATAAAATTGGCAACAATAGTGAAATAGCTGTGATTTTATATTCCTAACAGAATAATAATAAAAAATCTGAAAAGAATAGGAAAGACATTTATTTTGAAGGCTTAAATATTGCAGCACATAAGCTGGTGTGTTCTGCATTTTCATGGCCAGACTCATCTTTCCTCATGAGAAGCTGTTGCAGCTTCTCTCAATGTCAACTTTGCACTCTGCGTCTATGCGACACAGAACCAGCATGTGAGCGGCCTCGAAGCGAAAGTGTCCTCAGGCTGAAGGAGGAGAGGAGAAATTTCTTTGTCTCAAACTCCAACACAGATGCTTACCATTAGCATAACTTAGCAGGGAATGGAGGAGTAGAGGAGGTGTAAAATGAGGCCACACGTTACCAGCAGATCTGAGCCTCCATCATTTAACAGCAAAGGCGAGCACCTACAGTAGGTGAAAATGGAATGGAAGGTTTTTCGCTGTTGCCAAAAGACCTGTATTTTTTTATGAATGGACTAGAGAAATATCTGCCAAACGTAGGCTCCCGTTCTGCCAAAACGCACAATTTGTACCTTCAAAGTTGACAACAGCCGGAGCCAACAGTTATCTGATAGTGTACTGAAAGGACTGGCAAACAAACGGCTGCTAAAATAAAAATATTCGAATTAAGTGTTGTTGGAAAATGCAAAAAAAGGTTTTTTTTATTTGCATGTACCACGATGTTTAAAGGAAAGATTTCTGTTTAATCTGTACTGCAAAGGCTAAAGCAAATTGCCCAATGTTTAAGTCAGTGGTACAACGAAGAAAAGAACATTTGCATTCAAAATAGACCCAGTAATTGTTCTAACTGCCTCTTCTTTAAAACTGCCTACCATCTTAGTTAATCAATATGTAGATAATGAGAGCAATCAAGCAGTGATGGGCATGACATTCTGGACTAAAAGGGAAGTCTCTGTTTTAGTCAGAGGCAATGCCCTCGCTATTGATTTGTGTACCTTGGCACCCCGCTGACAAAATCTATTGTGACATTTCCATTTCTAATTTAATGCCCTCTGCTGCAGCACACATGAAGCCATTGTTTAGAGCTGATGTGGCGCTTACGTTTAACGGCAGCATTTTTATAGACGTTGTTTTAATGTCAATATATTGTTAAATAAAGAAAGGAATTATGGTTCAGCTTCAGGTGAGCTGTAAACAAGAAGCCGGTGGAGTCGGCTCTTAAACTAAACAAATTCATGTGTGTTTAATGTAAACTGTAATTAGCCTGACACTGATTGTGATCTTGACAGCCAAAGCTGAGGTATTGTTTTGAGTCCATAATCTCTTAACAAGGCTCTGCGATGCCAGCGTCAACAAAGGTCTCCCCTCAGGAAATGTCTCTTTGACCTCCGATCGATGACCCAGAAAAGGTCAGGCCCCCAGCGAGGGCTGCAAACAACCCCTGAGCTTTGTCATGCCGGGCCCGTGTGGCCCATCACCCAGGGGGCTCGACTGTGCGTCAGATGGGGTGTTGGCAGATCGACCCCTGCTCGTACAGCAGCTGTCTGTCAGCCGTGAGAAAACTCCTCAAAACATCCTTCTCTCTCAACTCCTTGTAGCCTCAGAGACCTTCTTGTATTTAAAAGAAAAACAGTCCTTAGCCACATATTTAAGTTTCTCTAGTACTCAAATATCTAAATGTTTGCACTTGAGTTGGACCAAGAGTTGATGGACTTTCTCCATTCATAATTCCTGGTTATAAAAGGAGAGGGCCATCTCTCAGTCTAAAACATCAATCAAAAATGATCGTCTTCAACCGCGGCTGGTCCTCTGTTGTGTTTGATAGAGCGCTGTGGGATAGCTTCGCTGTTGCTCTGTGAGCCGTCGCGGTGAGACGGCGATTGGCGAGGCAACCTGAGCCTGACTTCATTCTGACTGACTGGCTTTTTCTTCAGAAGCACAGTCAATTGGATTAGTGTTGATCATGACTCTAGATGATGGGATGTTAATCAGGACTGATCAGGCACTTAACAGCCTCTCAGATGCACCGGGCTCACTGTGGGGCCATAGGTAGAGATCGCAGGCCCCCATTCAGATCAATGAGACTTGTTGTTGTCGTCTGGAACTTATTGACAGCCAGCTGAAAGCAGATAAAGCATTTATCGGAGCTCACCGCACACCCTGTTTCATGATTGTCATATTTCACTACCAGAGTCCCCGTCAGGAAAGGCTGAATAAATGGGATTTGAAGTGAGTTGTTTGTGTAAGTGATGGCCTCAGATGTCATATCCTTTGGCAGATGGATGCTTAGAAAAGCAAGTGTTTTTAATATATCCATCACGAGTTCTCTTAATTAGTGATGGCTTGGTACATTCATGCCTGCTTGTATCTGCACTGTAACATGACTTTTTCCATTGTGGGTAGAGCTGCTGTGTGCAGTTCTGAAATTTAATTGTATTTTAAGTTTTGAAATTGAATCTGCTGTACTTAAATAAAACAAGCAGTATTTTTTTTCCAGACTGTGATCATCTCATTTAATTTTTGTGAATGATCTGTCAGATGTAAATGAAGACAGCGGTTTTAGTTTTCATTCATTTATTTTTTCCGTCCTGTGATTGTACGAATTCTGTCTCAGGTACTTACAAGCCAACCCAGAAACAGTCTGCTGCTAAATGAACAAAAAAATAGTCACAACCTTAAAAAATGTTACAGTTTGACAGAGTGTAAATGTTAATTGTTCTTCCTCCTTCCCATCGTAGTGGCGTTCCACGGACTGCAGCTGAAGATCAAGAGGGAGCTGCACAGCCCGTGTTCAGAGCTGAGCTCCAACTGTAGCCAGGAGCGGCCCTTCAAACTCCAGTATGGAGAGAAGTGCCCGTACAGCATCAGGTGGGCTCCCCCCCACCGACACTTAAAACATCTTTTACAAATTATTTAAATGCTTTTGTACATGATACCTTTTTTCAGATTTGTAAAGAAAACACAGAAAATAACATTTGGTTCCACATTCCTCACTTTAACAGAGGAATAAATGCAGGTGTGAAGGTTTATTGTAGGACAGTGATGACTAAATACTCACTTTAGCTTATCGTCAGTTTACTCTTGGTGAAGAATCTTTATGCTTTCTATACATTTGACACTTTTTTGGCTTTTTCATTCTGCATTGTAATTTTTATTTAACTGGAAATGACTTGCTAATCATTCCAAACTGCAAATCAAAGGACATCGAGATATGTACAGCTTTGGGTGGTGACTCTGAAGACATTAACGAGATATTTCCAATCAGAGGTATTTATGTGAGATTATGGCAGTCATGTTAGTTTTAATTGTCTGTTATAACTGAACTGAATCAGAGGGTTTCTGGAACCGCTGATTATGGAGTGGTTTAAAATGCCATTGATTCTAACTGCAGTCTGACATAAATGCCCTGAGGTAGTTTGTGATGCATTTCTTCACTTTGTGACATCTGCTCAGAGTCTTTACATCCAAATCTTGCACAAGGCTTTATAATTTATACAGTAAATCAAATTGGTTTAGAAAACAGTGAAAGGATAGTTGAGTGGGTAGGGCATTTGTTCCAAACTACCCTAAATACAGACATCTTAAGACGAAGCTATCAGTTAAATAATCCTTAATTAAAAAGAGTTTAAATCGTGTAACGTACACTGGCAGTAACACAGGCATCTTTGACTCTTGCTATTACCCCAGTGCCTATGAGCAGAAGCAGCCCACAGGAATGAAGCCCTCCAGCCCAGTGACACCCCCCTGTAGCACCCCTGTGTCCCCACTTCATCATGGCTCACCCACGACGGCCCCAACACCCAAACCAGACAGGACCTACACCCACATACCGCCCTCGCAGCCTCTCCCTGATAACGCCTACACTATGGACCACAGGTACTGCAGCCTGCAGCCTCTTACATTTACATCACATTTACATCTGGTGATCTTAGCTGGCAGTTGTACCAAGGATAGATTACAATAAGGTCACAGCAGCAGATGCACATCTGAGTTTCTGTTTTTCATTGAGTGAATCCTCAGTGGGCGGGGCCTGCAAACGACAACTTTCCCAACCATCGAATGCCATGTGGTCATCACTTGACTTTAGTGCTTTGAAATAGAGCTCATTCAATAAATCAATAGCAGAATGGAAAAAACAAAACAACAAACAGACCTACTAAGTTAATTATTTCAAGCAAAAGATTTTTTTTAGGTGTGAATTTTCCAGTTTAGGAGTAAAAATGTCAGATTTCTCTTATAATGTAATATAATGGATTTAAATGACACTTCCCTTGTGAATCTCAAATTCTTAAAGGAGAATAGAGTTAGCTAACATTAACATCCCTTTGCACAGTAACACAGTTGGCGGATGTGCACTTTATATAGAAAATACTTTGTACATGAAACTTTTCAAAACAAGTTTTGTGGATTTTTAGAGTAATCAGGACACAAGAGGCATTTTACTTCTGAGTTACTCCCATGAGCACCACAAGCCAAGTGCCATAGGATAAACATGTATATTTGATTTTGGTTTGAGATTCTTTGATTCAATTTTCAGACAAATATTCCAAACCTTTCCTTTATTTTTTGCTTTTTTTGGTCACCTGTAGGCATAAACATAGGGGAAACAAAAAGGCAAGCACTTGAAAACATCATTACGGATTTCAGAATTTTCACTTCTATTATTGATTCATTGATTAGTAAAACAAAATGTACATGTTCTTGATTTATCTCCTTTTTGTCTCATCAAGTCGTTCACAATCAGGAGTCAGTGTCATGAATCCACTGAATTTGTCGTCTGTCTCAGATTTCGACGTCAGCTCTCAGAGCCTTGCCACTCGTTTCCCTCCCCGCCGACAATGGCTCGGGACGGCCGGCCCATCTACCACAGGCAGATGTCGGAGCCCAACATCCCTTTCCCTCCTCAAGGCTTCAAACAGGAGTACCCCGACCCCCTCTTCGAACACCCGGCCATGATGGGGGCCCCTATTCCCCACACATACCCAGCCGGCATGATGATCAAGCAGGAGCCGAGGGACTTCACCTATGACTCAGGTGAGCGATTTGAAAAGATTTCTCTTGTTTGTGCTCCTTCAAACTCCTCTGGTAAGTGAAAGAGCAGAGAAGTGATAGCTGCCAGAGCATTATCATTTCAGGAATGAGAGAAGACATGGCGGGAGGGGGCGGTTTTATTGAGTTTGCCCATTATTAGGGCAGGGGATCTGGTTGGGCTGGGTGTCTGTGCTGTTCGCCATTTCCTGTGGTGCTCTAATAGAAAAAAAGGAGGGGGCTGAGCCTGGTCACAATCCAGAATCTGCCCTCCCACGCTTGTCCGCTCCCTTCGGTTAGAGAGTAAAGGGACCTAATCATCAGCCAGAGGCTCTGTGGAGCCTCTGTGGAGCCTGAGGCTACCTCAGGACATGAATGAACATTCGCCGGACTGCCGGGTTCATTCAGAAGGCGACAGAGTGGACCCAGGAGAGGAAGAGCTGGAGGAGAGTGTGTGTGACCAGTCAGGGGGAAAAAGCAACCTCCAAACACCAAAACATGTGGTGCCTCATTCACATCTCTTTAAGTTACACCTGGTTTTCCTAACAGCAGCTCTGCAGTTTTTGTCATTGAAGAGTCAGGCAGCTGTGATTTTTGGTGTTTTCTCGCTTTTCCAGTGGCAACGTTACTTTGCAATAGATGTGTTTACCGAGTTTCACAACTATGTGGCTTCTAAATGCCAATTAGCACAACTGAAAAATGTATCAAAAAGAGAAAAAAAAAAAATAGAAAAGAAAAGAAAAACAAGGTTCAGTCCAAAATAACCCTGTTTTTTCACAGTTTCTTGGGTTTCTTCTGGCCTATTTGCAGCAATGTTATTTGCATCAACCATTATTCTCTTGTTTTATTCGGGTTTTTTGTTCGCAAATTTGGCCAAATACAGGCAAAAATTACAGAGCCCAAAATGACACTGGCAGCTTGATTTTCTCTTTAGTAATAACAGTCAATTCTTACATTTCACCGGGTGAAGCAAGGTGTTTTTTCATAGATAAATGAAAATGGCTTTAACAATTAGAAGAATTGTTATTGATACAAGTAAACTGTCTACAAAGAATTGTGTGCAATCATAAAGCAAAAGTGGTGAAATATATTCGATCAACTGTTAAAATACCAAAAGGTCTTCCTTGTGTTGTGTTCCTTGTGTTGTGCTCCTTCTTGGACCAAGATGTCCAAGAAGGAGCATCAGAGTGAATTTATTAGCAGCCACAGTGGGGCATGTTGACTGGAGCTGGACTGTTGAGAAGGATGGGAGGGGATCTGGTAATTTCATTAGCAGCAATTTCCTCTACAAGTCCATTACTTTGATGAAGCTCAGAGAAATGTTTATGGGTCTAAATGAAGGGCTTCAGTCTGTTTATTGAACATTCACTTTGCAGCCCATTTGGCTGTTTTTTTGATCGCAGCATCTCATCTGTGTTGTGGGAGGTTTGGACATATACAGTAAATGGAAGAGTCGATTGGACAATGTAGTAAAGCCAACCGGTAAATGAAGGAAGAGAATTATGTAGTGGGGCATTTCTATCTTAACCATTTAAACCTACGATTTAAAAAACTGCTTATGTCTATATAAAATTACATTTTTGGTTTAAGAATTATTCAAACCACAAGTCTTTATTTGATCTCTTGTTATAGCCATGATATTGATAAACCACGAGTGAGAACTTTTAAAGGTGCAGTTCACTCAAAAATCTATTTTAGTTGGTTGGTAGATCTTATAAGGAAAAGAGGTGCTTTGAAATCAACAAGGTGGGTGCGATTTAGGAAAAGGCAGATATTTCTAGAGCTGATATCTTTAAACCTGGCAAATTTGCATTAAAACGATCTAAACTTGGAAAAAAACAGAACCAGAGGAAGTGTGTTGGGGGGGTGAATTGTTCCTTTTTGACCCCAGAAAAGTGACCGTCTGCATTTTGCAGTTTATTTTAACATCAGCTGAAATGTTGCTCAAACATCAGGACTCGATGTTAAATATGTATAAAGTAGAGAATCAGCGAGTATTTATCACCACTGAAGAACTGAGCTGATCTGTCTCCTCAGGCCAGTGTGGGCGTGGCCTGATGAACAGCGAAAAGCATCATAAACAACATCAAAAAGTGTTTGTTCACGTTTTGAATGTATTGGTAGTATATCTTGACTGTTTTACAAAAGCATGTGTTCATTTCAAACAAGTGAAGAACTCGTGAAGAAAAATAAAAGAACATGTGAAACAAAGCAAACAGCTTTGGCAGAAAACTGTATACTCACACTGGATGCAGTCAGTCATAATAAGAAGCTGATTGAGAAGATACACGTCAACCGTTTTAGCTAAACGTGCTGCAGCTGCACAGCGAAAACGTCAAAGAAACTAACACCTGCAGGTCCGTTTAGTTTTGATCTCAGAACGTGTGTAAAATAATCATCATGAGCCCTCGTATTATGAAAAAACTTACATCGTGTCAGCTCCTGTTTTCACACGAGCGCTGTGTTTTATTCAGTTGTAAATCTTCCTCTGAGTGGAGATGCTCGGGGCTCGTATCGGCAGTGTGATATAGTGAGCTCGCCCGTGGCTGGAAGCCATCGCAGCGCTGATGCTGAAGGGCATTTTCTTTAATCAGAGCCAGTGGTGCATTGAGTGAACAGGCTTTGACTGCTCTCAGATAACTGAGATAGTGTTCTTAATGCTGCCTTCGGGCCCTTTAACACCCACTCTCATTCTTGCCTGGGTTTCAGCAGAAGTGCCTAGCTGCCATTCTGTCTACTTACGGCAAGACGGCTATCTGGCTCACACTAACAGGACTGAAGGTACCAACGATGTTACGTGTGGATGTTGTGGTGGTGCACGTATGGGTTTTTGCTTCGTGTGATATCAAACTATCTTTTGTTTTCCGATCTTGTTTTCCAGGTTGTATGTTTGACAAAGTGGCGAGGCACTTCTACGACGATACCTGCGTGGTGCCTGAAAAGGTGGAAGGTGAGTCCTGCAGTGACTCTTAAAATGAAAAGTATGCCACGTACCAACGATTCTGCCCATCATACAATAACCATTTTGCCCTGTTTTCTGTAGGCGACATCAAACAGGAGTCGGGCTTGTACCGTGAGGGCCCGTCGTACCAGCGCAGAGGCTCGCTGCAGCTCTGGCAGTTCCTGGTGGCTTTACTGGATGACCCGTCCAACTCCCACTTCATTGCCTGGACCGGCCGTGGCATGGAGTTTAAACTCATTGAGCCAGAAGAGGTAAGAGACACGCAAAGGCACTGTCACAAAAAATCGTATTTTTCTATATTGTAATCCTGAATTGTACTCCTTTAAAAAAATCTGTTTTTATTTTTCATGGCTTTTATACTTAAGCTTTTTGGACAGTCTTAGGTAAATGTTGCATTGTATTTCACTACATATATTGTTCAATAAAATCTTTAAGAGGTTTACCTACTTTCAGCTACTCAGAAGTAAATATTTGCTGCTTTGGACCGTTTTATGTAATTACAACTTAAATATATTGGGGTCGTAGACTTTTGGTTAAAAAAAATGAAGTGATTAAGCAGTGAAAGAAGGTAAGAAGGTAAGGTAAATCACTGCAAAACCAAATGAGGTCAGAGGTCAACGTGTGAATCAGTAATATTTTCTGCTCTCAAAATGCAGTAGACTTCTTTAAGAAATTGTTCTTACTGATCAGAAGACAAAGAGAGGAATCATTCTAACTGACAGGGAGCAAAAACTTCTTACATTTAAAAATATATATATTATTGCTTTTCTTTAACACACAGGTTGGGGTAAGGGTTTGGAGTTAGGATTGGGATCATCACAGACGATGACTTGGACCTCAGAGGGTTATATATTCTACAGTCCACACTAAAGCCAACCAAGTGACCCTGATGACCTGCTCCTGTTAAATATTTCACAGGACATATTCCTAAAAATATAACCCATGTTGGCGGTTGGGCCTTTTGAAATGGAAACAGAGGCAGGGTTTGTGTATGGCCACATCACACACAGTGGGGCTCAGTCACTGCTGGAGGATGAAGGAGGATGCAGGGTGCAGGCAGGGGGTGAAAGTGTAGAATGGAGGAGATAGATGAGTACCGGGCAGTGGTCCACGCAGCCCGATGGTGTCTAGAAGCACGAGCCAGCTGCACCTAACAGGGGGCCCCATTCATGCCATCAGGTGACCAAACGCATTTGCTTTGAGGCGCCGCAGACAAACGTTAGGTAGCGGTTTCTGCATTTGCAGCATGTCAGCGGTTGCGGGGACAAGAAAAAATGTGAAAAAGAAAAAACAGAAAAAACACAGTTGCATTGATCGGGGAAGGTATTATAGGAGATAAACTGTGAGAAACAAACAAAAATGAAAGTAAAAAGCAGAGTTTAAAAAAAGCGAGCAGCTAAGAGAATGCCGTAGGGCTGTGGGTTTGGACCGTGAGGCCGGGTGGCGGGTGGTCTGGTAGACAGGTGCTGTAACATCTGCTGCCTCCTCCGCTGGGTGTGTGACAAGCTCCTAATGAACACATCCCTGGTCAGGTCTGCACAAGCTGGACGCGCTCTAATTACTGTTATTAGGAAAATATGGATCGCTAAGTTTGTTTAACATTTTAGCTGCTGCAGCGTTCCTGTCTGGAAATCAGGGCAACCGTGCTCGTTTGTGTTAGATAAGTTTGCTTTCTGATAATGCTCTGTTTACTGACTGTCTTTATTGTCTTCATGTTTGTGTGTGTGATAAAGGTGGCACGTCGGTGGGGGATACAGAAGAACCGGCCAGCGATGAATTACGACAAACTCAGCAGATCATTGCGCTACTACTACGAGAAGGGAATCATGCAGAAGGTAAAAAATAAATAAATACAAAAGTTGTATCAACCAGTTATAGTTCATCTGTTACACTGAAAGGGATCCAAAACTGTTCACCTTTTTTCTAAAAGATTTTTTTGATGTAAACATAGTATGAAAAGAACTAATTTGGTTGCTATACCTGGCCTGTGTTAAAGGTGCTCCCATTCCCCCAGGTGCCTTATATAAGGAAAAAGAGTGTCTCAAAAATGGTGAAACAGCTAAAAAAGTTCATTTACACTTTATAGCTGAGAAATTGTAATTGTAAAGCTTTTTTCTGTATTGTGTGCAAAAATCAGTTTTTGCCAGGCTTGCGGCTCGTGTCCGCTTTACTCTTAAAGTGAAACACAAATATGTATGTTAATTTATCAAGTTATTCTTTGAATTAATCTTCATTATAGTGCATGTAGTATTTATGTAGTATATGTAGTAATGCCAAAAACAGATGTTTATAAACAGCAAACAAATGAGTAATAAATACATATATTTCTTCTTCTTTGCAAGCTACATATTCATTATATAAGGGAAAGTAATCAGTTACATCATCACCATCAAACATCACTGTTTGATGAACCAGCTACGTCAAAGTGTCCCTGCAGTAAAACAATTGTTCAGCAAAATATTTACAAAAACAATAGATGTGCAAATAATGACCATTCTTTTTGAGATCAGCTACCACGCATGTATAATTTGTATGGATTTGAGTGTTATACAAATAATTTCCATAAGCTGTATAGATGTTGATTAACTTGGTACTGGACTAAGTTTCTTTCAGATCAATTAGTGCATTTAGAGTTAGGACCTACACTGCATATGCTGTGATCATTGTCATAAGATTATTTATGCAAAAATACTTCAGATCAAGAGTAATGATTTTTTTTTTAACAGAATACTGGATAAACACACTTTTCTGTCAGGTTTTTTGTTTCCTGAGGTATTAGTTTGACAGTTAGAAGCATCTCCAGAAAGCATTCATTAATAGGCCGGTCAGAAGAGGTTGAGCACTTTTAGGTGGAATTATACTTTGCTGGTTGGAGGTCAAGAACTGCTGGCCAAGTTTAAATAAAATAAGGAAGAAACAGCAAAGAAAACATAAATCTGCTCCTGAGATCACTTTTACCTCTGAGAAGCGATGAACAGTTTATAGCTCCTTTATTTTCTACCAAATCCACGTGTGACATAACACGTTTAAAAAAGCAATCAGTGTCTCAAAGATAATTTTCGAAAACTTAGTAAAACCACTCTATATAATTTATTCTGGTGTTTTAAAATAACTCTTTTAATGGATAAGCTGTTTTCGCTTAGGTTGGGGATAGTTCATTTGTTTGAAGTGGGTTTGTATAAAACACTGATCCACAAAAAAAAACAAAAAAAAAAAACAATACATGGTGGTTAGGATGCCCCAAAGCAACAAAGGGTACCAGCACAGAAGCTAAAGCCACGTGCTGCTGTGCTCTAGATCAGGAGCACGAAGCATTTTAGTCACCTAAAAGTAGTTTTTGTGCACTTTTTAAAATATTTGACTATTTAACGATTGGAGAATTGTCAAGTCATTGTATCCACATCAAAGCCAGCAGATACTATTTACGAGTTACTGGACTATTGTTGTCTCGTTTGGTTGGTTGGTATGTGTTAATGTGTGATGCTAGTGTTTTAATGGCTTAATTTAGATCAGATTCGATGTGTGAAAACGCAAAAGTCACACAGCATTAGAACGGCCATTTTTTATTTTTATTGTGAGTGGGGGCGGGGCTCCATGAGTCAGAGAGTATAATGAGAGAGCAGAGATGCAAATACTGCAAATTTTAATGAAGCTTTTTGTAAGCAAACATCAAATGATATGGATACAAATGCTATTAACTAATCCTGTATCTTGTTTGAAAACACTTAAAGCTCAAAGCACCTCTTCTTTAGTGCAGTGTGGAGGCCAAAGCAGAATTGTTGATGACATTTGGAGATCAGCTTTAAAAGTTTAAAAAATGGTTTTTTTTGTTTTTTTTTTAAAGATATTTAATCTTTTTTTTCCATCTGGTGGATTAAAGTGAAAGATTACACTCAGTCACTGTAGAATATGCTGTGGAAAAATGGTTTAAAAACAAGACCTCTCCGTCTTTCTCCAGGTGGCCGGCGAGAGATATGTCTACAAGTTCGTGTGTGACCCCGAGGCCTTGTTCTCCATGGCGTTTCCTGACAATCAGCGGCCGGTGCTGAAAACTGACATGGAGCGGCAGATCAACGAGGAGGACACGGTGCCGCTGTCGCACTTTGACGAAAACATGGCATACGTACAGGAGGGACCCTACTGCCAGCCGCACCCCTACAGCGAGGGCTACGTTTATTAACGTCAGCCCTACAAAACCCACACCTCCACCCTACCCTCCTCCCACCTGCCTCCATCCGTACACATGAGACTGTCGTGTCCTCTAACTCGCAGCCGCTCGGGGAATTAGACTGAACACACACATGCAGCGGCGCTTCCCTTCCCCTCTGTCTCAAACACGTACACGTCCTTTTGCTCTTGTCTTTCTGACCGCACAGCAAGATGGAGAGTGCACTTTATGGACCGGAATGGCACGATGTTAGCCTGCCGGGGGCTAGCTATGTGATTGGCTTTTTACTCATTTATGTTTGTACATTAATGTGGGAATCATTCTGTTTGTTTGGTTGTTTTTTGAAGTCCTTATGATTTTGAGCATGTGCCGCCCTAACGAGACTGGACTAATTTACGGTCACTTTGATCTCCTGCTAAAGAAACCGTCTCATCTACACTCACAAAAGATGGCCATTTGTTTGACTGTCTTTCTTTTTGTCTTCATCCTGTACTGGAAACGTGTTAACGATACTTTTATGGTGAAGTGACATGATTATAGACTTGAAAAAGTAATGTGATTATAAAAGAGACATTTAGCTATCAGTGAGAACTGCCTCGCCACCGGTCTGAACACCGCACCTCTGTCCGTCAATGCCCGTCGTCCAATCAGACTGTAGATTTCATCATGTAGGTGTTGTAATGACATAAACTCCACTGGATCCTCAGCAGCTCAACAACCTTGTGGGTCAGTAAAGATGAGACTTTCACTTACAAGGACGCACTCCGGGAAAAAAAAATGTCTGGATGACAAAAAAAATACTTTCTCTGCGTCACACGTGAATGGCCTGTGTTTAGGATCGAAGACAAAGCTACAGGCTGCTGTAAAATAAGTCATTCACTGTAAACAGCAGTGTAATGCGTCAGAGCAGGAGTCACTCATTCGTCCTTCAGGTGTTCAGTTTTTCAATGGATAACAGGTGAAAAGTGTATGTACAGTCAAAGTGGTTACAGCAGCCAGTCAGTTCATATTCAGGATAATGTTTGCATCCCCAGCTAAAAAACAAAAAACATCTGATTTCATTGGCACAGACAATAAAAAGGAAAAAAAAGATATAAAATCGAATTTCTCCCTTGAATTGTTTTCGGTTTTGTTCCAGGTGAACGAGAGGTGTATATTTTGCTTAAAAACTGTTGCTTTGCCATTAATAGGTTGCTTTTTGGTTAAAAAAAAAAAAAAAACAACGTAAAAGAAATATTTAGAGTTTTATAATGTGATGAATAAAAATCATGGTATATTAAATTGTTCCATTGTATAATCAGGTAAATGCACATTTTGTTGCTGCTTCAAATTGTAAGTGTATTTTCTAGTCTCGAGAAAATGACAACAGGGGGAAAAAAGAAAAAAAAAAACAGTGCAGCAGCTATGGCCTGCTATTCTGGATTTCTCTTTATTTTTTGTCTCTTTTTTTTTCCCGTCAATTTCAGCATTAAAAAAATTACTCTGAATTTTGTTCTCAAGATTCACGTGTGTGGGATGGGATTGGCAATAGGAAAAATTCTGTAATAAAATAGTTCTGAAAAACAAAGTGATGAGCACTTCTCAAATGTTTTAATTGATCATAATATAAAGAAAAGTTTAAGAGCTTCAGTGCTTCTTCTCTTGGCAGTTTTATGTATTCCTTACATATGATAAATCTTTTTTTTTTCAATCAAGCTGAATATTTATCATGTCTGTCCCGACAAGGTCATAAATTTACAAAGTGGAAGTGGGAAAAGAAAACACCATAGCAGGTGTGTGTGTGTATGTGTGTGTAGACTAGCAGATTATAGACTCTTGTCAATTTCCAAGTTGGAAAGAAAACTCCCAATCACAAAGCATTTAACCAAAGTGACACCTGAGGAAAAATCAATGGCTAATTTAAGACCTCGCTTTTTCATGTAGGTGAATTGTTTCTGTCCTTTTGTGTCTGGTGCTGGCAGTAATGAAAAAAAAACAGCAACAAAAAAAGCAGCAACACTCCCTTAAAGTTATCATTTCCTTTTGTAAGGTGTCACTATTGCTAAAAATCAATGACTAATTTAAGGAAGCATTGTTTAATTGGTTCCACTGATTTGAAAAATGAAAACGGATGTGTAAGTAATGAAAAAACACCACTTGCCTTAATTTGTCAGAGCAGGTTACAAGCCGAGCCTATTACAGTCCCCACGCTTAGGTTTTTCTTTTTTATTGATTGTCTGTAGGGAAGGGAATTGCCCTTAACTTTAAACACCTGATTGCTTCCCCGAGGATATTTAACAACATCTAATCCGACATATACAAAAGTAAAAACAGCAGTGCGGCTTTTAATATGATGAATGGCGCTTCTATTTTGGGTTTTCCTCTTAAAATGGCACTAAACTGGAGTAAAGAGTGCTTGTTCAGTATTGAAAAAGTAGGTCAATGAGGTGAAGACGGGGCTACCTTTTTAGATAATTAGTTATATCCTGTGTATTTACTGTCTGAGCACTATAATCAAATGTAAATATTTTTATCAAAAATATTTCAGCACCACACTTCTGTTCTTAAGAAGAAAATGCACATAAGAAAATATAATCCAACATTTAATTTAAGCAGATTATTAGAACATGTAGACATTATCATTGGTGGTGGAGGAAAGAAATTAAGTGCATTTATTCAAGTATAATTCTTTGTACTTTGTATTTGTACTTTTTTTTAGCTCTTTACCTTCTACATGTATTTACAGTCCTATCTATATTTAAAGATAACAGATTCCAAGTTGTTTATGCCTTATAGATGTAAAACACTATATGCTATACAGTGGTTTACAGTAACATATAAAACCCAGCAGTTTATGTGCAGGCCTGCTACTTTAACAGCAGGACTTTAACTGAGTGCATTTCACTAATTCAAAGATGGGTTTAAAGTATCTTGACATTATGGTACTCTTTCACTTAAAGGATTTCCAAGAGGTAAGATTCCTTCTGTAAAGTGGCAGACTACATAGGCAGACTATCCCTGAGCAGCTCTGTGCAAGGAGAACCAGTTTTTGCTTCAGAGGCTGTATGTGGTTTGACTGTTCAAATGAACTTCACGGTTACAGACCGAACACAAATGACTGTGGTTTATTCAAAGTCCCATCATTGAAATCCAATGCAAACACTTTGGTGCTTTAAATATGTGGTGAGTTTTCCATGTGAGCGGTGAGCTGCTGGTGGGACAACAGCACTGCAGCATTTTCCACCTGTATGTCGTGAATAGTGTGAAGGTCACTTGCAGGATTAGTTGTCTTACACCTTTTAAAGGCATTCTGTCGCTGAGGCTGAAAATCGCCATGCAAATCCTGTTATCTGGCCCCAACTCAGGGAATCAGGGCCTCAGCTATCAACATATTTACCATTTATGGACATATGCTTTACATCCTGTGCCACAAGCCAAATCCTCCCCTCCTCTGCTGCACTACCGGCTAATATTCTGTGTATCTGAACTGTGAATTGTGGTCCTCCCCCACTGTAACAAACAGATGGCCGCTCGATCTTGAGTCATCACAAACCCATTACCAGAGTGACTTGTCCTCAGCCAGGCTGCCTTGATTCGTGCCCGATGGCTCTCGCCAGTGTTTGCTCAGGCTCTTAAGTCATCCTCAGGCTTCACAGCGCACTGTGTTTGCTCAGGTTAAATGGCTTGTGCTGCCCCTGGAGTCTCCTGATTGGCTGTGACACTGCAGTGTTTGACAAGTGAAATGACACCGAGTGGCCCCCGTCGCAGCAAATGTGTTTGGCTGTTTGAAACAAGTTGGCTTTTAATACAGCGTGTTTACACACCAAAAAGCCCTAAGTGTGTTTCTATCTGTGTTGCCAGGGTCTATCAGTGGCCAGACCAGTGAGCATAAATCATTCAGAGGTAATTCAGAGGAACAACAGAGGCTCTAAGAGGAAAAAGCAGGGAAATTATAAAGCCTCTATAATGGAGGCCCCTATTACAGCTGCTGGTCCAGTTTAAGACGGCCTTATAAATGGTTTTATTATCTAGGAGGCTCTATTTTGGCTACATCTGTTCAGAATCACCATTTCTGAGTATAATTCTGAGCAGTAATCAAAAAGTTTTTGAAACACCTTCATTTTCTTCAGAGGTCGTGATTCCTAAATTCAAAGTACAGTCAACTCTTTACACTTGCATTTCTTTTTTTTTTAATCAATTAGAGAGCACTCTGCAGTGTGCTGCAGGACACAAACACACACACACACAAACCTGGGTCATAATTTCTTTCAGTCACCGGGGCCGGCGTGCGGATCAAAGGTCTCAGAGAAGCTGCTGACTGCTGAAACAAGCGTGGTTGTTGTCTAATTTAACAAGGATCCTGTGTTTTCGGGAGGTTTCAGGCAACACCACAGGTCCCTCACTCATTACGCTTTTTTCTCTCTTGTTGATCGTCTTCCTGCTTCGAAACAGATGAAACACAAAAGCTAACTCCCCACCCCTTCCACCCCCCAACACAAAGACTGTGACAGTAATAAATAGCCTGTGTGATCCAGGTTTAGAAAGCTGTGAAATTGGATATTGAGATGCTCTCCGGAGCTGCGGGTCGGGAGTAGTTTCAGACTAGACTGTGGGAATCGTCTAATCCGATCACCCGGAATGTAAGACGGGCTAATCGCCTAACAGGCCGGGCCTCTTGTGCCCACGGGGCATTGGTGGTGGGGAATTGATGCCTTTCTCTTTTTAAAATGGGATTTATCAACTCTTTAGTTTCACTGAGAATCATAGAAACACTTTTAAATCTTTTGTTTGCCAGAATGTTGGCATATTTCAGGAGTAATTAACTGTTACTGTGCAACGGAGTACATTCTGTTCATGTTTTACAGTAGCGAAAACACTCCAAAAAAGGATTTTTTTTTTACTTAGTCATTTTCTTGAGTCCATGAAAAGCTTTTCTTCCATTTAAAAAGCTCCTCATTAATTCCATTCAAGAAATGATAATGCTGTAAACAAAATAAGTGAAACTACTTTGGTATAACGAAACAGATCCTTAAACCTAAACTAAATACCATTCTGTCAGTTGTAAAAGTTAGCAAAAACTCACAGTAGACCATTATCAGTACCCATTGAATAGAACATACTGCTCTACAGTCAATGTGTTTGTGCAAAAAAAATCATTCCATCCAAGTGAAGTAGCCACATGTTATGTTCTCATTTCGGAGACTCTATGAAGACACCAGCGTTTGTGCAAACAGCTTTGATCAGAGTCTGATGAAACCTAATGAAAGCTGTTTGCTGTAATGTTGGTGTCTTAATAAACATGAGAACACAGCGTGTGGCTACTTCATCTCAATGAAAAACTGGATATTGGACACTCCTGTTTTTCACTGTCGATGTAATAAAGAGTTGTTTTTCTGACTAACCTGACAAAATGTTCATATTTGCTCATATCTTCAAATTATATTTGTTTCTATCACTTTCAGGATAGCATATGTGCATGCACCTTTCACAGTACTCTGTGCAAGAATATATATATATACATATACATATATATATATATATATATATATATATATATATATATATTCAGTGCACATGTGCACATGTGGTGTATCAAATGCTTTGTAACAGAAAAACTCGAGTTTTATTCCTGGAAACTTATTTTGTCATCAAAAGTTAAGCATATTTAGTGTATTTCATGACAGCCTGTTAGAGAGGCTAGTACTATCTCATTAGGGTATTGTGGTTTTAAGCCTCACAGAAAGACATCCCTCAAGACTTTTTTTTTTTCAGGTAGTATGCAAACATGTAAAATATCAGCTATCTGTGAGTTAGTTCTAAAAATATCAGCACTGGCAGCTTCCTCCAAAACCCTCGAATTGAGCCCTAACACCGTCTCTGCCTCTCTGGCCTAGCACGCCACCCGTCTCTTCACCTTCCACAATGTCGTTTGATCTCCGCGACGCTGTCAACGCCACAGATCAACCTCACGACAGACCTTGTAGCCACAGCCACCCAGCGAGGTGGCCAGCCATCTGTCACAGGGGCCTGGAGACCTTGGGCTGCAAAGGGTCCAACCCCCTCCCATGCACCCCACACCCCCTCCCAGGGCCCATTAGCTCTCCCTAATGCAGCCAGTGTAGGCCCTAACAGGCACAAAATGGACTGCTACTCATCCTCCTTAATTCCCAAATGAGTTCTCTTTAGCATATACATAATTCATTTCTTGAAGTCACTTACGGGCGTCTTTCACCCATTTAGCAAATACTCATGTCGGGTTTATCTTTTTTAGTTTAACAGTTTTCAGGTGCGTAAATCTGATCACAGCTGCTATAAAGAGAGATTAATCTTGGTGGGAAAAATAATCTGAGTGTGAAATACACAAGCAAAAGAGAGGTTGGATTTCAGAGTCATGCAATGAGATTTAAATAGCAAGCAAGGAGCCTGGAAAAGTATACTAATGTAGTCAGATGAAGATAGATAATACGGGGTAAATTTAGACCACCTCACATTCATAATACCTAATGCCCTTTAAATAGGCTTAAGAGGAGGACTAGAAATAGGCTGTGTTAATTAATTATTTTCACTAGATTCCTTCTTCTTCTTGCTTTCCTTTCCACGGGCGTGTTAATTCTTTCTTGGCGAATATGTGGCAGCCATGTCAAATCTACTAAATAATGCACTTGTTACGATACACCTTAATTTCTTGGATAGAGAGGAATTCATGAGGTATTCGCCAGTTAAATTGAATACAGAGAGTAATATTTTTTCTTAATATTAGTCTGGATTCCTGCTCAGGGTTAAGTGTGGAGACTAATGCGAGGAAAGCTGAGGAAAACTGTGTGCTTTGAGAAATGTTGGACAGTAAATAGCAAGTGCAGCAAAAAGGGAGGTTTGGGAGTAGATTTTGGGAGTCATCAAGCAGACAAGCAAAGGTGTTAAACATGATTATAAATACACTATGATAACTCTTTTTGCACTTGTCATTAAATATCAGATAACACTAAAAAAGCACCACAGCCTCGGTGTTAAATGAAAACATAGTAAAATGTATTCCAAGTGAAAATAAGCGAACAATTATAAGCACACAGCAGACTCTAAAAATAACAGGAAAATAAACCCCGCTGTGGTTAACTCATATTTGAGGCTCAGTCTCAAAACACATGTCATAAATAGGAGTGACAAAGATATCTCTGGCTATCATAAAAACTGCAAAACACACATGGGACAAGCGCACCATTGTCCTCATAAGCCACATGAGAAACATAGGCATAGTGTGATAGTACAAATGGCACGCTTCCAGGATCCCCTCCGCAAGCCACACGATGAAGAGCAGAGTAAATACATTACACTCGAGGACCTGTAGGCACAGACACAAAGGCTGCAGGAGCAGGCCGAGGCAGCAAGCTGACCAAACCGCTCATGTGAAAAGAGATTCTGCTCTGGACCCCCGTTGTCCTGTTTTGGCAACAGAGGGCAGGGGGACCAAGTGCTGAGCCAGGACAATATGTTTTTTCAAATGCCCCTCAGCCAATATTTATTTAGCTACAAGCTGGCATGTCTGAGGAGCCCGTGGCAGCCAAGACGGGCGTGCAACCGTGATTTTCAAGATGTTACAAACATCAGGCTTCAGTATGATTCTGACCTTGCTAATGTCCAATAAATTACAAATGAGTCATGTGTGATAACTGCTGCAATGCCACATTTGGTGCTGAATTATGGGATGGCAGTGAAGGCAAAAAAAACAAATAGACAATTTTGTTATTTACCAGGAAAACAGATGGAATAAAATAGTTTTCTGACAGGCTACTCCTTCATTCAGAAACAATTTTAAAAAGCCAATAAAGGGCAGTCGAGATTCAGTCTAGTCGCAGCAGTAATTTTGGTAACTAGCTGTAGATTGCAAATGATGAACAGTGAGGTGCAGGATAATAACATAGCCCTGCATATTGTAGACTTGTGTTAGAAAGAGTAAATGGGGGAGAGAGGAGGAAAAGAGAGGGAGAGAGGGGGGACTTTATTTATTTCTTTCTGGCTTTTAAAACAGATGGTTCCTTATGTGCTGAGCGGAAGTGTCTGTTAACTCAGTTGGCTCACTATTGGTGGCTGCCGGCCAATGACAACAACGGGATCGGGGAGTGTGAGCAACAGTGCAGTTTGCTTTCTTCAGATGCTCTGCGAACAGAAGGATGGCAGCCTGCAGATACTGTTGCACGGCCACCCAAGCCTGGCAGTGCCAGCGGAGGCACCCATCACACCTCTATGCGGCACCCTCTCCATCTAACTGCTGCAAGTGTGGGTTACAGGACAAAACGAGGCCAAAAGCTCAGGGAAAGAGTTCAAGTTGTAAAGGAGGAGAGTTTGTTTGTATGGAATTCATTTAGTATTCGTTTCTGTCCAGCCCATCTCCACTTGTGTTTCAAATGACCCGCAATATTTGCATCTCAAGCAAATCATGTAGGGATCAGGACAATATAGGTGCATTAATAATTTCCTGTGTTGACTGTCAGCTCCAGACAATTTCTTTTTAGCATATTTAGTGGTAGTGTTTTTTTAAACTGTTTTGCTATACAGGAATATTACGTTTCAATGTCATCAATAGCGTCATCTCAAATGTCTCTCAAAAAAGCTTTTACAGTGTCATGAGAGCATTGTACTACTTCTATCATTGCTTCTTGGAGAAAGAAGTAAGATCAAATCCCCAAAGTATTCACAGAAATTCAATGGTTACTGGATTAATCGACACCACTCTGTACAGTGCAAGAAATGGTGAGACTTATCAAGGAAGAAAGAAAGGGTGGTGGAGGTTTGGGTGGATGATGGGCATGCATTACATCACATTTGGTCCTTTTTATTAAACATAAGCATTTTCTTGATATTTCCCAAACTGTAGGATTAATGTTGCCATTTGACGTTGAAAAGTTGGATGTTTGACTTTCCCTGTCATGCATATGATTTATACATGAAAAAGGTTTCTTTGTGCTCACCTTGGAAAATATTTGTAGAAAATACTGAAAATATACTCCTAGAATAAAAAGACTAAATGCAATATTAACCATTTTAACTTGCTAATTTAACTTTTGTCTTAACTTTAACTGTTAAAACAATTTAAAAGGTTAAAAACAACAACAGCTGTGCAGTGGCCTTTGGAATTTGCAT